GGGTGCAGATGTGTTCATGACTAAGGGGGGTGCAGATGTGTTCATGACTAAGGGGGGTGCAGATGTGTTCATGACTAAGGGGTGCAGATGTGTTCGTGACTACGGGGGTGCAGATGTGTTCATGACTAAGGGGTGCAGACGTGTTCATGACTAAGGAGGGTGCAGATGCGTTCATGACTTAGGGGTGCAGACGTGTTCATGACTAAGGAGTGCAGATGTGTTCATGACTAAGGGGTGCAGATGTGTTCATGACTAAGGGGTGCAGATGTGCTGCAGATTTCTTTCCATCACTCCAGTTTCTCCCTGACCCCTTGATTGTGTTATTGTGGCGGTCTCACTTCTCCCTTTTCCACTTGAATACATTTTACTTCCATTTCTTGGATAGCCAAAATAACTTTAATATATTTTAGCCTATTCGTTCCTTTGAATCTAAGTGAATCTCTTCTGTCCAACAAATACAGTTGGATCATGTCTTTTAATCCAGTATGCCGATCTCTGTCCTTTAATTGGAGCACTGAGTCTATTTAAGGCAATTAGTGATAAGGCGAGGATTACATCCACCATTCTAAACGAGAGCCCTGACAGGGCCACAGTCTGTGTATCTTGCTGTTCTCCACTTAAAATCCTTCAGTTAGGAATGAAATCCCAAAGTCCTGCCCTGATCCTGGCCCTGCAGAACACAGCCCCTGCCTGTGTATCCAGTACCCTGTCTGCAGCCCCACAGGCTTCGCCTCTGTGGCTCCCACATTCTAACGCCATCCCTACTCTCGGCTCCTCCGTTCCTGCTCCATCTGCCTAGATGCTTTCTCCTGACTCTCCCATACCAGATCTTTCTTGTCATTAGGGTCTCAGTGTAAACTCCACTCCCTGACCACAAGCCGCAAAGGATCCCAACCTTGGACTCGCCCTGCCCTCAGTCTCTGTCTCCCAAGACTGGAACTGACTCCCAGGCCAGAATGAGAAGCAGACCCTCAGAGCTGTTACCATTGGAGCCCCCCCACCCGCCCCCCCGGAGTGAGACCGGCAGCTTGCTGGCAGTGAGTATCTCACACGGGAGCTCGCCTTGCATGAGTCAGGCACTGAAGGCTTGGAAAATTAAAACCAGCAATGTTTGGAGGCCAGAGCGATTTCTGCCGCTGGGAAAGGATTGTCCTGCGTCCCTCCACCTGGTTCTTTCTTATCTGCCTCTCACAGTAGCATACCAGCCGACAGTGGATTGCTTGTTCTTACCAATTATTAAAAACATGTGGCGGGCTTCTGAGGATGCATTCACTTGCTGAGGAAATGGACCATATCCCCAGCCTGGGCTCCGGCACTATGGGCTTCTGTGGAGTGAAAGCGCCACCAAAAACGCCTCGATAGGTTTAACTTCATGGTCTACCACCTCCCGGCTATGTGACCTGGAGCAAAGACTTGCCCTCTCTGAGCTCCTGTGCCCACAGGAAAGGTGCATCCTCTCTCCTAGATTTGCTGTGAACATGAACTGAGGTTAACGTGAAAGCACCTAGACCTGACCCTGGCTCACAGAAGGCGATAGATCAGCATGACGTCATCTTCCAGACCCCGACCGACCCAGAGTGTCCTGACTCCATAAGGAAGTTAACTATCCTAGCATCCTGAGGCCCAGTGATGCTGCATGCCAGCACGGGAGTGGATCTCCTAGTGCCTTCCACGGACATCCTCTCATGCCATCTTGGAGATGAACGGATGTCGTCCTGCAGAATTTTCCATTCCCATTGGACGGCCATATACGTGCTGGTTAAGGAAGTCACTGGGTTCCTAGTCCGCGCTCCCTGAAGCCAGGCTTGTTCACACTGCGAGCTGCCTGAGAAGCAGGACGAAGGGTGGCAGAGGGCTTCTGGGCAGAGTGCCTCCCTGGCAAAGGTCCTTTCCCATCTCTCCCACACCTGCCCTCCAAACTCGATTTCCATCCCTCCCCTTCCCCAGGTATGACCCCCCCTTGGACCAGCTTCTGATGACTCAGCCCCAGGCAGTTTGTGGACCCAAGGACACGTGACAACAGCACACCCCACCGCCACCCCAGGACTGCTAGAGCACCCACACTTTCTGCTGGCCACACTCACATGCTCTTGTGGCTTGGAGGACTCACCACGCCTATCCCCTACCTTCGAGATGCCTCGTGGAGCTCCGCCGCCTACTGAGGCACAAGGGAGATCTCCCAACCCTACATAAATCATCACTCTGCCAGCCACAGAGCCAAGGTGATGGACGCCATGGTGATGGGTGAGGCCCTGACCCCAGTCCCAGACTGGGGACAAAGAAGCCATTGGGGATGCAGGTGTGGATGACAAGAACCGTAACAGCTCAGCCTGAGTCTGCGGAAGACTGGAGGAGGTGTCTTCCTGTCCTGCCCTGAGAAAGAATTCGTATGCAAAGGGGGAAGCGTCCCCCTTCATCCTGAAAGCATAAGTAGGATTTTGGGAAACAGAACTGAAACAAAACATCAAGGCCCGCCCCTCAAAACATTAAACAGTCACCATGTGACCTGGAAATCTGCATGTAAACATGCAAGAGATATGAAAATATGCATCACGTAAAAAAGTGTGCCTGCGTGCCACAGTGCTGTCGTCCAGGGGCCAGAAGAGAGCACATATCTCTCAGCTGTAAACAGACAAGCAAAAGTGGTGTATCAACGCAAGGGAATATTATACAACTATGCGCTCACACCTGACACACGCGAGTGCACTTGTGAAGCTTTGTTCAGTGAAAGAAGCCAGTCACCAAAGGCCACTTAGTAAATATTCCATTGACAAGGAGTTTGTAGAACAGGGGAAGCCACTGGGAATCAAAGTGTGGTTAGCTGGGTATGGGGGAGGGGAGAAGAGAAGTGACCATCAGTAAGTCATACTTCTAAAGACATAGTTGAGCCTGGAGCCCAGGCAGCTGAGCCCGAGGTCACCTCGCTATCTACGACACCACCCACCTGGTGTAGGGGACAGCAGTGTCACCTGACCTAGCAGCAGCAATCAACTGGCTGATTCATTTGGCCAGGGAGGGGGTGACTGTGGATGCTGGTCCCAGCCTTAGTGCTACTGCGGGTCTGTCTGTGACTCCTGTGATGTTTGGGGGACCCAGGACAAAAGGAAATCCAGCCACCCCCCGGCCTCTCTTCCACACACTCGCTCTATTTAATAACTGCTCTTATCAGTCTCCTGGCAGCCTCCTCGCTTCCTGTGCATGCAAATTACTCTATTAATTACACTCATATCCCTGGTGCTTCCTGGCAGATCTCCGTGCGCTTTGTCACCAGCGCACACCCATTCTGCTGTGCCCACTGGCACACACACGGGCCCGCTCACTTCTGGAAGTGTGTCTTTGGTCCTCAGTAAACACGAAACACGTGCCTTTCGATTAGTCTCGAGGAATTCAGTCTTCCTGTTCTCATGGCGCGTCAGGAACGGTGGTTTTACTTTGAAGCCGCAACCCAGGCCCATGTTGGGGGGCTTCTGACATTGTCCCCCAGGCTTTGTTTTCTCCCCAGATCACAGCTCAGAGAACCCTAGAGCCTAGCACTGAGAGAGGTGACAACCACTAAAAAATCTGGGGGAGGACTGAGGAGGCAGGAACAGACCGAGGGAGTGCAGCGTGAAGAAGCGGAATGGGGTGCAGGAACACATCCCAGGAGGCCTCCAGCGTGTGCTAAGACCATCAGACTTTGTTCTAAAAGCCAGTCACCTCCCTAAGTATATGAGCAGGTGACATCCCAGACATCCCGGACATCCCAGAAAGTACGCAGCAGACAGAAAGGAGGATCAGGTGTCCCTTGTCTGATGGTAAGAAGAAAGACACGGTGAATGACTTAGAACACAGAAGACCCCATCACATGTCCCAAAATCAGTAGAGTCATGGGTTTCATGGTCTGAAGTTGAAGAAATCCTAGGAACCATCTCTGCCTCTTACAAAGTGTGTGTGTGTATCTTTTGCAAGTTGAAGAGTCTAGAAAGCTCTTCTATTTATAATTTTGAATTAGTCCATTACTTTTAATGTTTTACAGTAGGAAAATCTCTTAATTAGCATTCGCCAACCCTCTGGTCCAGGGACCAGCTTGCTGTTTGTTTACATTTCCACGTGCTGAGGCCCACTCTCTACACCACGCACCTGAAGGGCAGCATCTCCCCGTGGGTTCAGGGAGGCCTGAACCCCTCTACCTCAGAAAGCTACAGAGAACCAAAACGGGGAGACTGGGGCAGAAGGGAGTCCGCTGAGCTGTTCTGGTAAAACACAACGAGCTAAACCGAAAGTCTCAAATGCTCCGCTGTTTTCCTTCCGTCTCACTTCAGGCTGTGTTGGCTTAAAATCGGAAACTAGGCATTGCTGTAATAAATCAAAACACAAGGATTTGCTTGGCCATAAAATCTGAATGTGATCTGTTCAGTCTCCCGTCATGGCTGAAAGCGCTTAGCCCGACAGAGGCTCGGGATATCATGGCTGCCTGCTTCTGCCAGCACCCCAAACCACTGGCCTCCCGAAGCTTTCCAATCTCAGGCTTACCAGACCTAAGACGCTGGGATCCTGAACAAATGGCTTCCCTACTCTGTGCCTCCATTTCCCTATAGAGCAAGAAGAAAAACTATAAGTAACATAAAAATACGTTCCCGTGCATGGGAGGATGCATGAAAGTTGCATGAGCATCGGCTCTTCTACACGGGGGCTTGGGTATCTGTGGCTCTGAGTCCTCACGGGATCCTCTATGCATGCCATGGGATGCCGAGGGAACCCTTTCCCAGAGTGAATACGGTGACTGGGCAGAGCACTGAGCCCAGGGCCAGTCTCACTGCGCTCCCGTGTTGGCAAGGCTCAGCCAGGCCACAGTAACAAAGAGCCACAGTGTCTCCATAGCTGACACAGCAGAGACTCGGTCCAGCTGTGAGTCCAGGTGGCTGTCCCGGACAGCCATCTTCTTCCCGGAGGCAATTTGCCATCTGGACCACAAATAAAGCAGCATGGCTCTCACAGCGGCTCTCCGTACTTCAGCCCAGGTGGGTCAGCTGACACGTCCACCTACAGCCCATTGGCCAGGCCTAGTGAGAGGCCCCTCAGATGGCTATCGGGGCTAAGATGTGGGTGCGTAGCGAAACTTCAGTGTGCACCAGTCTGTGCTGCCTCTGACCCCTCCTGTCAGCCCCCTGTGCCCCCCTCAGCCCAGATCCCCCCATCTATAATTAGCACAGATCCTTCCTGTCCAACCACACTGACTCAGAGTCCCGGAAGATCATAATGGTGAAAATTTAGCTAATGGTACAGGCTGGCCTTCTCACTGGGCCAAAGGCAGGTACATTCTCTGGGTCTTTTATAAGTCGAACTTCCCAGATCTCATCCCTGTTCATCTCCTCCTGTATTGTTGCTCTTCTCTCAGGTTGGGCCTCTGTCATCCTTTTGGCCCCAGATCATTAAGGTCATTTATCAGTAGCCCTTGTGACCTAGTTTTGAAATAGCATGCTGAGTGATACATCCTGCCTCAGAAAGGAGACATGGAAAAGTCAGGAGGGGTGATGGGAGGCCAAGGGGCCCCTTCTTCTATGTGCATGGGCATCCATGTGTGCAAGTGTGTATGTGTGTGTGTATGTGTGTGTATGTGTGTGTGTGTGTGTGTGTTGTGCCGTGAGCCTCCTCAATGTGTGTTGTTACATAACCAATGCAAGCTCAGGGGACAGCCCCAGGTAAATAGGATGCTAGGCATGCAGAGGGGACATCAGGTTAGACCCCATGGCTCATGGAAATAGTAAGTAATGTTAACAGTTAAGGAGAGCTCGGTAGAGAAAGACTTAGACAGTGTCCTGTGCAGGCAGAGTTGACATTTACCCAGAAAAGAGCAGGCAGGGTGAACGAGTTCTGTCCCTAACCTCAGAGGGGCTGTGCTGAACTGAAGGAAGAGGCCCCAAGGACAGAGTGGAGGCACGTGGAAAGCCCCTGGATCCAGCTTAGGCAGAAGGGAACGTTTCTTCTGAAGCCCTGCCTAAGGACAAGTAAACTGGGCTCCCCTAGGAGGTAGTGAGATCCTCACCACTAGAGGTATGCAGAGAAAGGCTGGGGAGCCCAGGAGGATTCTCTTCAGAGGCACAGTGCTGCCTTTTAGACCATTCCCCGCAGGAAGTGCAACACCTTCACATGCTCTCTGCTCGCCGTTCCTTGCTGAAGGGGATGGGAGAGACGAGGAGCGAGCAGCTTCGTGCTCTAACCCAGGAGCACCTTGTCATCCCTAGTGACTCTGGCAGCAGCGCTGAGCCGACAACCCCAGCAGGCTTGGAACAATGAGGAAGGGGTGCACACTCTGTGGCCTCTGGCCACACGGGGATCCCCACTTCCACCCAACGTGGCAGCAGCCACAGCAGCTATTTTTGGAGCTGTCTCTACGGCAGCACACTTTGGGGCTCCCAGGATGATGCTTCATGGAATGACAACGGGAAAATCAAATGCCTGCATTGTTCTCGCCCGTGTTACACGGGCGTGCGTGTCTCGTGGCCTTGTCGTCTTTTGTCTCCCCGTGTTCTTACCTAAATGCTTAGAACAACCCTCTAGCAGGTGATGCCAACATTTCTCCAAAGACAAGTGAGCATAC